TAGTTTCTCTCAAAGTCAATATCTTTGGACCACCCAAATTTGATATGATAGAACTCGACGAGGGCTACAAAATGCTACTATTTGGAAAACTGCATCTTGTCTATGACCGAAGTTACAGGCTATCTACTGGCTTTTCCCGGGCGGCCCGCGAACGCCCGAAACAACCTGGAATTGTATTCTGATGCTGAAAAAATGGGAAATTTAACTCACTCCGATACTGTAATGAATTAGCTGGTCGCTGACAAATAAGACACATTTCAAGTGGCGTCATCATGGGTAGAAGGAAATTTTGAGACTGATAGAATCCAATGATCCCATCGGGATATAAATTCTGCTTCTGATTATTTCTATTCACTATATTTTATGAGGAGCCCACTTGATCAAACTACATCCGGAAACAGCGTTTGCGTCAGAGTTGATCACTCCGGTCATATATTGGTATGATCAGTAGGAAGACAAAAGAGCTGGAATTCATTTGGTATTGTGAGACAGATACCAAATTTTTTGGGCCAGAATAATATAGTTTTTTAAGTACCTATTTTCAGCTCATCCGAATCTTTCTCTATCTGGAAGAAAGATACTCAACACATATCAGAAGATCTACACATCTTGTCTCCTACAATATTCATTTCTCAATTATCAACAGAATGCTCCATCTCGGCTCACTGATTTGTTTTCCCTTTATCATTCAGTCAAAAAAGCACACGAAGAGATTCAAACCCATTTCTTTTTTTGTAAAACTAAAATGCCCAACTTACCGTTCAAAGACTCTTTGCACACGAACCTTGATTTTTTCTAAAAAATATTTTGGTCAAAAACCGGTTGTACATAGACGGGCCCCTAACTTTGAACTTTGAGCCAATTTATCGCGGTTTCTGTCAGAGATATAAAAAAGCTGTCAACTGATAAATTGCTTATCATTAAATTAAAAACATTTTATTAGTTAGACATTTTCGATATCTCGCATAGGAATTGAGATAATTGAGCTCAAACTTGGCTATGTGGGGCCTTTCTATTACAGGTCTTACAGTATCTTTCGTTTATCTCTTTCCTCTTTCTTTTCCTTGTTTATCCTTTTTTTTCACTTTCTTGAAATGTTTGAAATGCCTTCAAGAATAAATTTGGTTGGTAAGCACTTCTGATCCCTGGCAAGCAATACAATTTTTTAATCATTAATTCTATCTTCGAAAAGAGTATTAAGACAAGAAGCGAATAGGCATGAAAAGAGAAAACAAGACAATTTATTAAATAATTGCAGAAAAAAAAAGAGAAAAATGAGAAAATGGCACCTGGAAATAGACAGAAATGAGAAAATTAACATCCAGAAGAAGACAGTCTGTACTCTTGAAATCTTCATTGAAACCTCTCGATGCTTGGTCCGTTGGCTCATCTGAAGAAGTTTTTCCAGAAGACGTTCCTTCGATTCTTGAGGCCCCAAAAATTACAGTAATCCGAATATAATCTTTATCTTTGGATTGTTCATCTTGGAGTTTTTAAAGTTGATATTTGATGATTTTGTACAACTTTTCATTTTGAAGCTTTAAATCATCATCAAAGAGTGCCAAAAAGAGTTTTGGAACCTAATTTTGATTTTTTCAAATTCCCGCCGAAACTTAAAACACCGAAAAATCAGAGGGGTTTTTGGAATTTTTCTACAGAGAAAAATTGATTTTTTCTTCGATTTTGAGCAAAATTTTTAGACCGTTTTAGGTTTTTCAGCTATTTTCGAAGATTCTTTTTCGATTTTTCAAATTTTCTGTCTGAAATTTGATGGGAAGATTACTGTAGGTTACTGTAGATAACGAATTTTTCCGTAGTTTTTTAGCAAACACAATCACGCCAAAATGACAGTTGGAAGCAAAAATACAGCATACAATGGAAAATCGTTTTCTACAGTAACATACAGTAATCTTTACGAATACCGTTCCATCAAATATCAGACAAGAAATCGGAAAAGTCAAAAAATAATCTTTGAAAATAGCTGAAAACCCTAAAAGGGTCTAAAAATTTTGCTCAAATTCGAAGAAAAATTGCAAAAACCTCTGTAATTTTTCGGAGTTTCCAGTTTTGGAGGGATTTTAGAAAAAGATTTGAGAACCTTCCAGAAGTTTTCAAAAAGCGACGAGAAATGCGATTTTTAGCTTTTTGAAGCGATTTTTTGAATTGTCCTTCTTTGATATGTCAATCTATATATTTTAGTTCAAGAAGTCTTGTTTCAACTATTTTCGACTTGGATGCTGTCTTTTTTGGTCTGTTTGAGCCCATGTTAGAATTAAATTCGGCTTAAAAATGGTTTTTGGATGGTGCATTTTAAAATGAAATTGGCTTAATATTTAAAAAAAAGCAAAAATAGACTGAAAATCTGTCTGGAATGTTTCATTTTTTCTGGAACTGTTTTAAAGGAGGCCAGACACGAAAGTCTACGGAGTTTTCTTGGAGCGAGATCATGTATTCTGACGGAAAATCGTGCGATTGCGACCCAATGCGCGCTACTTGACGAGCATTTATTTTTTTTTTAGAATACACTAGATTTCTTCACTGTTTGGCAATTATTCCCTACTTTTTCTTGTTATTCGGTCATTCTATGATGTCGCCGCATGAAAACAGAAAGAAAAACAAAAACGAACTGATGGGAATCGAACCCGCGATGCGCGACTGATAGCCAAGCGCGCCCCCACTACACCACAAGGCGCTTGTCGTCTGCTGCCGCAAAAACGATTATGAAACGAGGAGTTGGCGCCGCTTCTAAGAACGGCCGCATTCTTGCTTGTACAGCAACAAGGAGTTATGGTTTGGTGTCCCTTGTTATTTTCTGACTGTAATATGTCATATATCAAAAAACTAGAATTTTGAAAATTTTCAGGTCTGGTCTCCTTTAAACGATTGTGGATTTGATTATGGTCCTAATTTAATATTAAACATTTCAGTTTGGTTATGTGTGGCACGGACTGCACTATGTTTAGGAATATCTGGATTGTCTTCGCTTCATATTGCTATCACAGATTGATCATTTTGTATTTGTTGTAGTTTGATAAATTCGACTGTAATAAGATCACACAAATGGTCATAAACATCTTCCGATCGGAAAAAATGTCTCGTGTCAGCTTCCTGTTTCATTCGATCACCTGAATGATCATTCTTAGAACAAACACGTTACAACGTTCTGACAAAATTCCTTTCCTTCTGATAGGGTATCTTGTACGCCAGCTGACCTTTTTGTCGCCTCGGTCAGTGAGAGGCTGGTATCATAAGTGGATCGTCGTAAAAAATATATACTTCCCTATCTTTCAAAATTGAACTTAGAGAATATTACATTCAGAAATTATGAGTTTGTTTTTTGGAAAATTTGGTTGGAGGTTGCAGTTTCAGATTTTGCTCCAATTCAATGGTATAAAAATTTTCGGTCAAAGTCCCCCTTCAAAGAAGGAATCGTAGTAGTTCAAGATATCCATAGATGCTACAATAAACCAGGAGAACCCAAATGACTCCAAAAATTATCAAGGCTCCTAAAATTATCAATTTGTGTGCAATGGCTGTATCGGATTTTTGTGAATTGGCTCCAAGTCAACTGTGGGTCAACTGGATGCTTCTTATCGATGAAATTTACGAGTGTATCAAGCCATTAATTACCCACAATCCGAATTGGACCTTAGAATCCAAGGAGCGTATTCTAGAAACGGGAACGTCTTCAGATGAACAAACAGACCAAGCATCGACAGGTTTTAAGCTATTTTTTAAATTTAGAGATTTTTGGACTACGGTATGTCGCGAAAAAGTTTTACTTGCATTGAATTTGAATTTTAAAAAATCGGAAAATTTCGAGACTCCGAAAATCCGGAAGTTTCAAAATCTGAACTTTGGACATTCCGAAAAATTCCGGAAAGGTCATTCTGAACATCCTTGGTCTATTTCCAAGTGTTTTTTTGTCTTTTGCTTTTTCTTCTTTTTTTCTGTAAGTTATAATTTTTCCTCGTTTTCTCTTTTCATTTGCTTTCAATTCTTGTATCATCAAAAGATAAATTCAATAATTTGAAAAAGAGTGTTTTATTTTTTGCTAAGAATCAGAAACCAATATCTGAGTGATTACAGTTTACTCAATAAAGTTTTATCAGAATTTATATCGAAAAATTGAAGAAATCACAGAGAAAAGATAGAGTAAGAATGTTGAGAGACCGATAGAATAAAAGAGAGATAATTGTTTTTCAAAAACCAGTTAAACACTCGAGATTCAAATGAACAAAGGAGATATTTTCAAAATGCTACTGGAAAATACCGCAAAACCTGTAATAGAAGGGCCCCTTTTTACTTTGAACCGAGTAATCTGGGTTTCTGTCAAAAATAATAAAAAATTGCCAACTGACAGATTTTTAATATCTTTCCAAGAAACTGAGATGAATTAGCTCAAAATTGACAGTGTGAGGGGCCCTCCTATAACAGGTTTTACGGTAGTGAGTTGAAATGAAACAGACAATATGTGTTCACTTGGAATGATAATCTATCGCTCCTCTTATCATTTGTTTCCATTCCATTGCGGGCTGATAGATTTGGAATAATATAGCCACAGAATTAATATCTTGCCGAGTTTTTGAGATGACGTTACATATGGATAGAAGATCTGTGTAACGAGTGGGAGCATGCTTCTGATAGGTGACTTGACAGTATTTCAAAAGGAGAGAACCATACATTCGTTGATAACAATTCAAAAGTAAACGACCCGTTTCCGACATGTTTGGGACATCTGGAAAATTTGAATTTGTTGAAAATCAATTTTTTTGGCCATATTTTCATACCTGGATTACAAATAAATATTATATTGAGAAGTAGGAATTCCTCTTTAGTGATATTGAGTTCTCGCAATTTTCCAATAACTCTGCATTTGATTCTGTTCTCCACTTTTGGACACTTGCTTGTGGTAATATTCATTTCATCTGGGAAAACGGGGCAACCTTCTGGGTATGTGATATTATCCAATTTTGAGAGATATGATTGTACAGCCAGTGCAACAATGCAAACATTCAAATAACATGACTTGAGAAACACTTTGGAATCAGATGACGTCAGAAGTTTCACAAAATCGAGCTTCTTGATAAAGTCAATTGTTACAACATGGTTTATAAACTCCCAGTCGTGATAAGTGTTCTTAGTAATCGGAGATTTTTTAGTGAATTGAGTTTCTGTAGAATCAGTGACATCCTCAAAAGTTATGTTATCCGGTGCTCGGAAGTTTACAAATAAGTTCCATTTTTCCATTTCCATTCGACAAAGATTTTCTATAGTATCGGAAAGTTCCAGTTTATCCAGCTTCTGAATCATTTCAGCCCGAAGACATTGTTGAAAACGACAAATTCTGCAATCGTAGTTTGCGATTTCGTCTGGATTTTTATAGCAATTATCTCCATTTTCACATTGATCAAAGAACTTTTGAATGTGGTGACTCGACGGAAAAACATTTTGCAAGCATTGCAGCAGTAAACCTTAAAAAATAAATTTAAAATTATTTTTTTAACAATTAGTGTCACCCCATAGTTGAAGGAGTTTGATGCTCGATTGCAAATTTGACAATTTTCCGTTTTCTTTTCCAATTGAAGGAAATTCATTGGATTTGTATTCATTTGAATGTTTTCTGTAATTCTTTAAAAATTGAAAAAAATACCTAAAAGCCTGTAATAGAAGGGCCCCCACACTGTCAAGTTAGAGCTCAATTATCTCATTTCCTCTAAAAGATATCAAAAATACGTCTACTGATAAAATGTTTGTAATTTTCTGATGAACTATTTGTCACTTGACAACTTTGTTATATCTTTGACAAGAATCGAGAAAAGTTGGCTCAAAGCTAGGAGCCATTCATTACAGGCTTTACGTTATTTTTTTCAAATAAGGCGGCAAAATTTTGAACACAAGAAACAACTTAAAGGGAGTGGGATATTAAAAAAATTGATTATCTCAGAATTTCTGTCATAAATGCCTATCGAGGAGTTGAACTTGTGGGACAATTATTGAAGTTGCACCGCTGCTACCGGCTGAGCCACGCTAAGCTGGCGACCAAAGCCAAACAAAGAAGCGTAGTAGCTGTACGCGGAGCAGAGCAGAATAAAAATTTTGAAAATCCAGAAAAAGGAATCCGGAAGAAGGAATGAAAAATTAGAAAAATACGGATGACGGGAGGTGGAGCAAGGACCACATTTTCGAAAAAAAATGGTGTTCATTTTGAATTTGTATACCGCAGAATGCATACCCTAACTACAAAAAATTCTGAAAAATCACCTGTTTTCCCCCCTCCTTTAACGAAAAGCATATATTCTTTTTCAAGAAACAAAATAATTTCCCACGAACGAAGTCAGAATCAATGAGAATTTTAAAGTAGTAAGCTCAATAGAGCTTTTTTTTCGTTCTGATTCATAAAAATGTCACTGGAAGGAAATATAATATAATTAATTGTCGGAGAGTGAAACAGAAAGATTTTGAGAGAGTCTGGGAAAATGTGGTTCTTAATCCTGATCTAAATATGTGATCTACATACAAAGTCTTTGTGGTTTTTGAGCAGTTAATTTTTCAAAAATTCAAACTGAAATTTTCCAAGAAACCGAAAAAAAATAACACCATATAATTTTTTGTCTTCTAACAAGAAAATTTGTCTGGTGAGTGAGCAGACTTTATATTTATGACTAGACGTCAGAAAAACAAAAAAAATTGTGACCACATGACGTCGAGGCTCAAAAATCACATCAAGTACGGATTATCAGGATGTTGGAGCATATTTTGTGAGAAAATATTTGGTCAGAATGATCTGCTTATGTCCTTGCAGAGATATGTATATGACAAATCAGCGGTGAGCGAGATTCGGTCAATCATTCTGGAATTTGTTTTGTTTAGAGAGAGCTTGTGATATAACTTCCTTTTCTAGTTGTAAAAGTTTTATTGTCATGAAGTTATCAGATAGAAATTAGCAAAGGAATTAGGAAAAATTGGCTCTTTTCTAGTTTAAAGGTGTCAAAAAACAACAAAGGTTTCGAAAAAAATAAAGGGAAAAATTAGAGGTCCCAAAATAAAAGAAAGGTACAAAACTAGAAAACCCACAGAGGTCAGAATAATGTACCAGCATTAAAACTTTGTACAAATTCAAGTTTCGGAGCCTTATAGGAACCATTTCGGCTGTGTTGGCAAAATTTTCGAGCATGTTCAACAGCTCAAAGACGCTCTTCAAGAGAGATGTCACCAGTACAACTGAACTTGAGAGTCTGGTCGCCAGAATGATGAAGAGGCTGATTGAAGTGAACAATAATAACAAAAGAGACATTATCTACTGATAATTATGCTTTCTCTAAATTGAACTGTTTGTCTGCTTTTTCTAACTAAATAGATGTTTTGTTACCATTCGTCTTTTGAACAGAATTTTCCTCAACCAATAAAAAAGTATGAATTCGTTGGAAAAAAAAAATGAAACATTGAATAAAAATTCGTTTAAAAAGCTAATAAATATCAAAAACTACAATGCCTCGAAAAAACATAACAAAATTGAATTTGGATTTCATGGATTACTGTAGTTTTTGAAATCGGAAGATTACTGTAGCTTTTTAATTCTTTTTCAAAATATTGTACTCATTTCTGGAATTTCTGACAATATGGCTCGAGTGGAATTGTTGTGTCTTCATAATGTCTTCAAAATAACAGATGTTAAAATTAAGAAAATTTCATTGGATATCAAAATTCATGACCACAATGTCACTTTATACGACGCACAGTGAAATGCGGTTACGGTAATGATCAGAAGAATTGAGGACGACAGAGATAAATATGCAGAATAACCGAGATCTAACTTCAAAACTTCCTTGTTACCATAAACAACTTTCAGGCTATTTTCGATTGCTGCGAGATTTGTTGAAATCTGGAGTATAGAAATGAGAGTGAATAAGAAAACTATCAAAGAACAAGCGGAAAATGGGTCAATCAGAATTCGAAGTTTCGGAGAGAGGCCTTCCTTGATTGTGACGAAACTGAAATATTAGATATAACACATGGATGACGCTGAGTGATTACCTGATAAGTCCATAAAGAGCAATCATGAAGATGAACAGTGCAAATGTCAAGTACATCAGAACACACGACACGCCAAACCATGGAAAACTTGTCTGAAATTCAAAAGTCTCTCTTCAACACTATATGAGATTTAGTACCTTAATCTCGGATACATATGGAATTTTTATGTCGGATCTATATGGAACTAATCCAAACGTCTTCGATTTGTCATTAATTAGCTGATTGCTAACGACCCATGAGGGTGTGAAGATTCCAACGGTGTTCAGAGCGAAAGTTATAAGAAGAATTATGCCAAGAACAAGAATTGCGATGTGGCTTTTTTTAATCATCGTTTTTGGCTTTGAAACTAAATTTTATACAATCTATTGGTCGTCTTAAATATTCAACAATTTTTGATATTTGTCTAACTGTTTACGAGTGAGTGGGGACACCTCTAAAAACTATGTTTTATATGCACAAACAGTCATAATTTCGCTTTTGTTTTAGTATTGTTCAAACAATGAAAAATGGATTTTTATTACTTCTTGAATATGAAACTTTTTCGACTATGAAACTTTTTGGAAATCAAAAAGTTATCGAAATATTTGCTCTGGTATTATTTTTTCTGTAGGGGATCTAGTTTTTTAGGGATACACTTTTTTTCAGTGCTTTAGATTTTCAGATTTTCAGAACTCCAGCATTTCATAAATCAGTTCAAAATATCAAAATTTTCAGAATTTTAGGTTTTTAGGCTTTCGAACTTTCATTATTTTTAGATTTTTAGATTTTTAGATTTTCAGGATTTCAAATTTTTTATGCTTCCAAAGTTTCAGATTTTCTTTTTTTTTTCAGGCTTTCGAAATTCTATGATTATGATTTTCGTTCTAAGAAAGAACTTCAGATTTTCAGAAGTTCAGATTTTCAGATTTTCAGATGTATAGAATTTGAAATTTTTTGGGCTTTCGATATTTCAGAATTTCAACTTTTCCATTTTTCAGAAGCTTCGTTGTGTGTGGGAATATCTGGATAGCCTTTGCATATTGCTATCAAAGATTGATCATTTTGTATTTGTTGTAGTTTGATAAATTCGACTGTAATAAGATCACATAAATGGTCATAAACATCTTCCGATCGGAAAAAATGACTCGTGTCAGCTTCCTGTTTCATTCGATCACCTGAATGATCATTCTTAGAACAAACACGTTACAACGTTCTGACGAAATTCCTTTCCTTCTGATAGGGTAAATTGTAGCGCCAGCTGACCTTTTTTTTGTCGCCTCGTATCCGGCCAATGGAAGGCGGGTATGATAAATGGAATGTCGTAAACAAAATATATACTTCCCTATCTTTCAAAACTGAACATTGAGAGAATATTATACCCAAAAATCTTGATTGACAGAGAAATTAAAACTCTGGGAGTTCTTATCTCCCTCTGTTTTCTTTTTCATACATATGGACTATTTTCCGATTGCTGGATTGAATCAGAGTCTTTTGTAAAAGATTTGGTGGGAGGTTGCCGTCATACCCTAGATCTCTATTCAACGGTATTTTTCATTCTAAATTCCTTATAAATACTCCAATTGCAGATCCTACATGGATGGTATGATGAACATGGGGAACTTTACTTTATCAGATTTTTCGTAAGTGTTTTTCTACAGCTGAGATATTTTTGCTTCGAGATTTTGAACGAATTTTTTTCAGGATGGAATCCGTCCTGATAATATGGTTTGCATAATGATGTATGTATCGTTGGCACTACTGTTGGTTGTGATTCTGAGCTACTGTTTGATTGTGTAAGGATACCGAAAACCTGGAATAGAATGAACCCTTAACCACCAACATTGGATTCTTTTCTAGTTTAGAGGTTCCAAAATATAATAGAGGTCAGAAAAAAAGACTAGAGGTCTCAAATAACTTTGCTGTTTCAAAAGAATTTTCCTCATATTTTTTGCTTCAACAACATAAGAAAAAAAGAAATGAACCCAAAATTATTAGGAACAATCACAGTTGAACACTTGTTATCATATGAAGCCTCAAAACTTACAACTAAGTATCTCACACTGTACAAATGCTGTCGCATTATCCCAACATCTGTTTTTTTTCAAATTTTGGACCTCTAAACTAGAAAAGAGCCCAACTTTGATCCAATTTAACACTCTGATAGATTTCAACTTTGATCCCCTATATCTGAATCCCTGCAAAAGATATCAACAAGTTATTAAGTGACAAAATATTTTTAATAATATGAAAAACATTCTGTCAGTTGACTTGTTTTCAATATCTTTCACAGAAATCTTCAATATCTTTCACAGAAAAGAAGAATTTCACAGAAATCTTTCACAGGAATCGAGATATATGGGCTCAAAGTTGACGGTTTCTGTGGCATTAGAGTATTTACGGTATCTCGGTTACCATGAAAACTATTAAAACTGACTATTATTTACTTGATATAATCAAAGAGGCATAAAACAATTAATTTTCTCGTAATTGTTTTAAAAGAGCCTCTCGGGGAGTTGAACTTGTAGTACGGGTATTGAAAATGCGACGCCACTACCCACTGAGCCAAGCGGACGTAGCTAGGTCCCCTCCGTCTAATTTTGAAAAATTGCTTCAAAATAGACAATCAGGAAAACTTTCTAATCTACAGGGATTACTGTACTAATTTAAGTTTAAATAAATTTCAGAAATCAAATTCGGAAAAACTATACACTTGTCAGAACTCGTAGACTGTTATTTGGTATTTCTCTTGGAACCATTTTGGCATCTGGTATCACAAGCATTGCTTTTTATATATTCACAGGGGAAGTGAAACGAGAAAATGTTTTGCAACGTCCAAGCGTTGAAAATTATGTATAACCGGAAACCACATTTTTTGTGATTTAAATTTTTTCTTTCAGTTAGGATACTCTGCCAAATCAAGTTTAATTTCCGCTGGACTTTGTGTTGTAATTTGTGGATTTTCTATCAAATTAGCACTGCAGAGATGTCGATTAGATGATGATTATCTGAATTTGAATGACGCTGAAGAGGATTCTGTAGAAATTCCAACGAAGAATACAATACAACAAAAGAAATAATTGTGATTTTGCATTAAACTTTATAAATTGGGATGACACATAATAAAAATAGAATTTCAAACAATTCAAAAAATAGAACAGAAATATTACAGCAAGTTTAAATGAAATACTAAAAATCGAGATTGGGGCTTTGATTCCCAAAATTCAATCCAGCCTCTATTTTCAGCCGATTATATTCTTGACTGATAATACGAAGCTTCTGGAACAAATCTGACTCTGTGAGAGCTTTGATTCTAGAATATGGGTTAAGATGATTGGTGTAAACAAGATGTTCGTTGTCTTGATCTGCGGCACCGAACCGTTTGAAAAGCGATGGATCAAACTGAAATTTTAACTCTATTTCTTGAAGTTTCAATTAGAAAACGCATACCGTTTGAATGAACGCAACGTGTCTGAACGCTTTGTCTTCGTGAAGTTTTAGACAAATCATGTAAGCTTCCAGTATGTTTTCTCTCAATACCAGATCAGTGAGTTTACGGAAACTCAAACAGGTATCTGGATCGATACGAATCTTGACGACGTGATCCACTGGTTGGGTGTAGAAGAATGTGTAGAGAGAGTAGAGGCCGAATAAACGTTCTTCTAAACTTCTTGGAATTCCTGGGCAAACTTTCTCTTCTATATACGGCAAGCAATGGATCAGAAGCTGTTCATTAAACTGAAAGAAACTCGATCAATATTATTCTGGTACGAAAAAATGTAACTGTGGAAGAGAAACGACAACTACAGTAACCTAGAAATATTTTTATTTTAACATAAATTTTGAAAGAAAACTGCAATTTTTGTATTTTAAGGAAGAGAGCCACAAACCTCAATAATCTCTGCACTCTCACTGCGTCCATTGTATAAATTGATCATTCTCAAATGTTCAAATAGCTTCTTATAATCAGTGAATCTGGAAATTCAAGTAATTATATAGACAATTCTTTCAAGAAAAAAAAAATACCTGATAGTTTTCAATTGGAGAAAAGATTTTAGAAATGTATCGAGATCAGTCCGAAGGCCAGCCGACACTGGAATCAACGATGTGGCCCCACCTTTGGGCATTTTTTAGCTGAAAATAAAGAATTTCTTTTTTAAAACAGTGCCATAGAATGAAATTCAATTAAAAATCAAAACTCCATCAGCGTTTAGTCTTTGCACACAGGGTGGTCGCAGTTTTCGTACTGGGAGGTCCGCTCGTTGCGAAGTGTGGGGTACAATATCAGGTGTGCGCCTTTAAAAGATACGGTAGAATTGCATTTATCGACTTTTCACTTTTGAGGGATTTCTAGACAAAGAAAGGGAAGAAAAACGAAAAGAAAGCAAGAAAAATAAGAAAAAGGTAAGAAGGAAAGAAAGAAGGAGAACATTGGAATAACGAAATAAATTATGTCAAAGTGTTACTTCCTGATTTAATTCAGCTTCTGCACTTTTGGAATGTTCAGAGAAACTTCAAATTGTCTGATGTTTCTGAATTTTTATATATCTCTGATATTTTATTGGTAGACGAAATTTTTTCTCTTTTACAGGAATCCTGACAATTCGTCTGGAAATTAAGGGTTTTAATTTGCTTCTATTAGAGAAAACACGGTACTTAAATGCAATTTTTTATGCTGAAGGGGAAAAAAGTGTTAAGACACAATCTCTGATTGTGAGAAACTCGAAAACACCATGACAATGGAAAAAATCAAAATGATCGTAGGAGTCTGATATTGTATGTGGTGGGTATAGGTGCTACTTTAAGACTTTTGACCATGGTACCCATAGGCCACGCCCCCTTCTGGGCGCGATGACATACCGTAACCCTGAAAAATTATTTTTGTTCAAAAATTGATATCAACTCAAATGTTTCAAATTTCAGTTTCTGGTACATTTTTGATCATTTTTTGTGATGGGACCAATTTTCTACAGTAACCCTGAAGCAGAGAAAATTTCACTTTCTTGAATTTTTTTTTCACTTTTTTGGAAATTTCTCAAAAATCTGCCTGTGTTTACTGAACCAAACCTTGATAATTCGATAATTTGGACCTACTTACACTATAATACCATAAAGTCATAAAAAAATCCGATGCCCTTAAAAGGGTTATTTTCGAAACCAACTTTGGACAAAAAATGAAAATGGAAATAATGATTAGGTTTGACTTGGAATGAATTAATTTTGCTATTTCAAACATTTTTTGTGTTAAGACCAAAATTCTAACTTGTTTCCTTTCAGCTGAAAAGTTTGATTTTTCATCCGACTTCGAAAAAAATCACTGAAAATCGGTCGTCGTGAAAAATTTCAAATTAGTGTAAACAAGGTAATATCAGATTCAAAACCAGCGTAAAAATTCACACAAAAAAATGTTTGTTTGAGTTTGCATATCTCGAGCACAAAATGAGTTTTAGTCCAAAAAGTGCAAAAACACCATGTGGGGGAGCAACGAAAATTCGCCCGAAATCGACCACCTCCAATTTTGATGAAATTCATACCAGATGTAGTATTTGTTATGAGTATTTTTCTGGCAAAGTTTCAAGATTCGTTCTCATCGTCTTCGTGCTTTTTTGCAACGCTTAGTTTATCACTGAAAATGGACCTGGAAGTAATTATTCCCGATTTTTTGGTACTTCGAAAAAAAATGTACCAGAAACTGAAATTCGAAACATTTGAGTTGATATCAATATTTTGAACAAAAATAATTTTCAGGGTTACGGTATGTCATCGCGCCCAGAAGGGGACGTGGCCTATGGGTACCATAGTCAAAAGTCTTAAAGTAGCCCCTATACCCACCATATACAATATCAGACACCTACGACCATTTTGATTTTTTCCATTGCCATCGTCTGTTGACTCGATCTCAATTCCCTCAGAGAATGTGTCTTAAAGGTTTCTTCCAATTGTCAATTCTAGTGGTCCTAAAGCTTCCTCAAATAGACCGAAGTGCTACAATGGCATCAGATGAGTCCCTAAAAAAATTAACATCCATTTTTCAAAAACCCCACCCAAAACAAAATGATTCATAGGTTGCTTTGTCATCTTTTCATTCTTCCCACACTTTCCTGAACTGATAAGAAACTCCTAGAAATTTATCACTCAGTACACATCGTTCTCAAAATGGTAGATCGAAACCTATTGATTCTCGGAGTCTTCATTTATATTGGTTTTGTTTTGAATACAGTTGGAGTGTTTACATCTTACTGGGCTGTGGATTCATTTGGATTTGATGGAGGAATCACTCACATTAACCATGTTTGACTTTTATTTTCACTTCGTCTCACTATTATAACTTTTTTAATATGCAGAAGCATGGTTTCTCGCAGCCACTATTTTTATGTATTTCTCATTTCTTCAATTTGCATTCACATTTTTAATCTACCTTTATACAGTGTAGGTTTTTAAATTATTGTTAGTTTTGTAATACGAATTTCAGTTTTGTTGTATACCGAAACGGATACTCTCGAAGTGTCCGCAAATGGTTCAAATTAATGACAAACAATTCTGGCACGATTGTCATTTTCACTGTTATTGCTCTCATTTTGATGGGAGTCAATTTTTCAAAAGCTTGTGACTCAACAGACTTGTTTTTAGGAACTACATTCGAGATTATCATCTTGATATTCGTACCGGTTCACTGGAGAGTTGTAAGGTTTGTTTTGACTGCTGCTTTGCTTATAAAATGACTTCAAATTCAGAACCGAAAAACCTGTGAAAACCATCTATCATGGAAAGACGTCAAAATATTCAGAGAAAAGTGTCGTGCTGAAAACAAAAATCCAGACGACTTTGAGCCGGCAGATCTCATTGGATTGTAAGCAACAATATAATCAATACAATTACTTTTGCATTTTTTCAGAGCGCCAAAGTGACTACTACTGCCTAGTGAAGACTACAAGTGACGACTTCACATCATGATTCAACTTTCATCTAACACACAATCATTGGTTTTTTTTCTTTTTTGTTGTTCGCTTCATTATTTTTTTTTCTTCTGTCCGCTATTGGATTTTTTAAAAATAAATCCTATTTACCAAATTGATTTTGACAGAATTTTCAGATTTTTTTAGAGCCTACGGTCCGATTTCGTGTGAGCGACGCGTAACTTGCGCGTAGGTTTGGCGTCTTTTGGGCGGTCGCTGGGCGGCTTCTACAGAAAACTAAAGCGACATCCGCCATGACGCAGCTCAGAAGCCGCTTTAATCCAGCCCAAAAGTTGCGGGCAACAGCCGAGTATAGTGCAAGATATAGGAAAGAAAAAACATTGAAAAATTGAAATTTTCAGTTAGGGTATTCGGCATGGCTCAGTTGTGCGGCTGCAGTTTTATCACTTGGTAATTTTATACTTGCTATGGTGATTGCTGAAAACGAATGCAATTAAATTGGACTTGTGTTTCGAAATGTTCAAATCTTTATATAAAATGTATGTTTGGTGCTTGGAATACTAAATAAAGCATTATTTGTTCACTCATGTTGAAAGATTTTCAGCCAAATAGAAAAAGGTCCAAGTTTGGTGATCAATGCATCAAAGTTTTCATTAAATATTGCCACCCGTTTCCGTACACTTCCGTGAGAAATTTAAATTCTGAAACTAGAAAAATGTCTTATCAGTTTTTGAGTCGTCAGAGATCAGGTTCACAGATTTTGAGTTTAAGTGTCCGAGGACAAGAAAAAATTGAGTCTTGAATGTCAAATCAAAAGGGAAGTAGGACCTAAAATTTCTATTGTATCAAATTTTTTCAAAAATTATGTGTTTTCCTACAGGGTGGCTCATATTTACCCGCACAAAAGTTCGCACTACCACAACGTATGAATGAAGCGTTGCGCTGGGCTCAAATTTAGTATACAACAATTCATATAGTTGATCAATAAACTGGCCGAATTTCAATAGATTTGATCAACTTTGAGCTGAGCTATCGCTTGTCAAAATTGCTTCATTTCATGAAAATTGCAGCGACGTGCAAGAAACATTACGCCTCTTATCTTTGAATAAGCATAACAATACCTAGACTTGAGCAGTCGCTTTGAAAATTTCAGTAACTTTGAATCGAACGTAAAATTATATTTCTGCCAATTTTCGTGCTTTTAACATTCTTATGTCTAAAAATATACCCGTTTTCGTTTATGCGGGTAATTATGATCCACCCTTTAGTATTAGGTTGAACAGAAAGTTTCTTCCTTTTTTGGTAACCTTTTTGGTCAAATTTTTCTAGAAGGGGAGAAGGCGAGATAAATAAAAGTTACGTCCATAAGCATCGATAGTTGTCTGCCAACGCTCCGGTAATTTCTTAATTCCATGGGACCAGAACGAGGAGAGCGGCGATTGAATAAGTGGGTCAACACCTTTTTGGTGTCATCTTTTCAATTGAAGTCCTCCCTATCACGATGGCGCTAAAGAGTCCCAAACAACCATTTATCTAAAAGGGCAAGATCCAGAGAATACGATGAATGTAAAAAAATAATTCAGCCAAGCGACATGAATTTTTAGCTGCTCCCTCTAATCACGGGCGATCTCGCATTGTCGCGCTGAATATGAACTTTGGGGTTTTCTCCTTTTTTTGCTTCGACTGCCAAACTTAGTTTTTCTAATTAGGAACAATACGAGACGGCAATTATAATGATATCTTCATTTAAAAGTTCCCCGTCTCCATTCGTTGAAATAAATAAATAAAATTAAATTAAAAGTTCCCCGTCTCCATTCCCTTAACAGACCATCAAACACAATGCTTCCCACTTTTCACGTAAAATTTAGAGATGTCCAGAGCTAGCTGTTCTTTGTTAATCAACTGACCTTCCGCACATTGATAGAGTAACTTAACAACTTTTCATTTACACTAATCAGATCATCCACCCAACTGAACATGTGAAGAAATGATAGGAGAAACAGGCTCATGTCCACATAGAGATCCATATCATAGTCCTTCAAGACACGGGGTGCGAATCCACCCATTTTTGACTTCGCCAACACGCTTCGATCCGTTCTCAATACTTGGTTGACTAACGTACAATGCCTTTGACATTTTACGAATAGTTTGAAATGGATTATATACATTCATCATTTTTGCGAATAGCAGGTATTTGAATATCAAATAAAAATCACGTAGCTTATGTGCAGTCGGATAATGGCCAAAAGAATAGTCATTCCTTCGACACTGAGTGAGATGAAAACTAACCAATCTACAATCTAATAGACACTGAACACAGCTCTCTAACAAAAAAAGTTTGACCCGCTACACCTTTTCTAGAACCAGAAATCGAGCCTCAAAAACAGCCCTGTGAAAAAGGAAGAAACTTTTTCTGTTCAATCTAATATTATTGGCAAAATTTTTTGATCTAAAATCCACGGAAAAACGTCGTTGAAAGTGAACGTTTCGTTTAAAAAGGGGGCGAAAGGGATTTGAGTTCCCGCGCAATTAGGAAATCAGGCCACGGTTCAGGGCGGGCGGGGATCTCACTGGGCGGGAATTCAAATCCTCGTACCTATTCGCCATCCGTTTTAGCAAAAATTTACACTTTCAATGGCAATTTTTGGGGATTTCAGATTTTTGTTTAATTTTCCTGAGATCTTTTCGAACATTTCAATGCAAAAAAATTGTTCGAAGTCCTCTTTCAAAATCAATTCTTCGGAAAACTGTATTTAGATCCAGGATCACTAAAATCAGTTTCTCCTGATTTACAAGCATCCACATTCTAGGATTTCACAACGTGAGTGTCGCTTTTATTGACATGTTCATTTTCACAATTCGACTTGTTTCCGCTCGTTTTATAGCAGTTTGGAGGTATGACTCTCAGCTAAGTAAATTCAAAAAAAAAATAAAAACTCAATTACAGTAACAAAGATGGTTGAAAGAAACTCTCAAAATGTTTTGGCAGGTGGTACAAGTCTTGGTGCCGCAGTTGCTCCTCCTCAAGCTCATACAAATTTCGTGGATGCTGGAGCCACGTCGCTGATGAATAAACCCGGAGAGCCTCCGTTCAGATTAGCACTAAATACCAATAAAGTGAGATCATCATCTAATTGATGTCATATCTATCCAATCTAAAATCTTTCAGATTGAATTCAAGTGCACTGAAGACAGAAAACCGTCGTCAGTATTTGTGAAGTTATTCAATCCAACAAATGAAACAGTCTCATTCAAAGTTCGTTGTACTTCTGCAGACATCTTCCGTGTTCAACCACCACTTGGATTCGTGAAATCAAATGAAACTGTTTCGATTGTGATTTGGTATCAGAATCAAGACAAAAAGGATGCCATGTCCAAATGCCATTATTTTGCCTTTTATCATACTCATAGTGATGGACGGACTGCTCGTGAACTATGGGCAAATTCTAAAGCAGAAGGTGTTCGTCGTCTTCCGGCTTCTTTTATTTCTGCAAAGTGATCTCAACTCGAATAAATAACTTTCTGCTTTTTATTTTTTTGTTTCACAAAATAAAAATACATCAGGTTTTACAATAAAACCTCTAATAGAGTGCCACCCAATTTTTTTCCTTTGAGACAATTTTTCCCAGTTCCTGTCAAAGATATAAAAAATTGTGAACTGATAAGCTGTTTATCATAATATCAGAAGTCTTTTATCAGTGAACATATTTTTGATATCTTTTACAGGTAATGAGGTAGATTGGCTCAAATTTGACACTAGAAAAAATGTTTTTGTAAATAGTTGACAATCTACCTGTAATACTCCATTCAGAAATGGTTTTCAATATTGAAGTATGAATGACTGAAATTTTGTAATTATCTACCGTAATCACTGTAATAGAGGGACCCATTCTGTCAAGTTTGAGCTCAACTATTTCAATTCCTGTTCAAAATATCAAAAATGTGTCAACTAACAACGCATTTCGTATATACTGATAAACAAATTATCAGTGGACAACTTATTTATATCTTTGAAAGGAACCGAGATAAACTTGCTCGAATTTAAAAGTTAGTGAGTCCTTCTATTACAGGTTTTAACGTATCAAAATTGAGTTTTCAAAAAAATTCCATATTGAATTCAGATCATGATTTTTCATGTTATTGGCGCTTTTCTAAGTGTTCAATTAAAACACATTTTAAGATTTACATTTGAACATTTTAAATTTCATGTAGTTTCCAGAATATTCAAATGAAAAGAAACAATTTGGAGGTTACAACAACTGGGGAGTACAAGGTGGCACAAAGCAGTTTAGGGGTACAAAATTGACTATTCGGGGGTATAAAAATCAAAATTTTCAGGTATTTTGTACCCCTTAATTGCTTCGTACCCCAGCGAGCCCAAAATCTTTGTGACCTATTAATTATTTTCCAAACGAACAGAGATTTGAAAATACCGTTAAACCTGTAATAGAAGAACTCCCCCACTGTCAAGTTTGAGCTCAATTATCTCGATTTTTGTGAAAGATATCAAAAAGTGGTCAAATGACAAACTGTTAGTCACAATATCACAAACAATTTATCAGTTGACACATTTTTAATATCTTTTAATATCTTGCATAGGAATTGAGATAATTGAGCTCAAACTTGACACTGTGGGAGCCCTTCTATTACAGGTCTTACGGTATTACTTTTTTATGTTGAAGAGATTCCGAATAATAAAACTAACAATTTATTATTGCACATTGGATATTAAAAAATGCGAGATTTGAAAGAAGTAAATTGCACCGAACGAAAATTAAAGGATTCTACTCATTCTTGTTAATTCGATTCATCTGAATCTATTGGCTTTTTGCTGCCTGCTGCTTTCCATTTTCCCAAGTGGTTGTCTTCAAAGTGGCTGACGCCTTCTTAGCTCCGGCTCCTCCCTGAAATTTATTTTTTTATGAAACTAATTTTTTTCGTTTCGAGACGAAAAGCTACAGTAATCCCCCACATACCTTGGTGCAGAGACGAGTGACTTGAGCGGCGATTTGCGAATAACGGACATAGTTAAGTCCAGCGGCTCTCCAGGCGACCATTTTCGAAAAGAGGATTTATTAACCTAAATTCAATTCAAAAGGTTTAGAACTATGTTTTACAGAAAATATATAAAATCATTGGTTTTGAGAAACCGTTTAAATCGAAACTTCAATATCCGTCTCCTGAAAATTCCGAGAAAATTCTTTATACAATCTATTTTAATTCGAAATTGAATGTTTTGAAAAAAAGTTAATTGGTCCAAAATGATAACAAAATATTTTAATAAATATCTAATTACAGTAACCTTGTTGTTCTAATAATCAGGTTATTTGATTCTCACCGAAAACAAGTTAAGCTCATGCAGTTTGTTATATCATTGTCTTTTAGTTATTCTTGTTAATTCAAAATCCAAAGAAACAGCAAATCGTTTATTTGATAACGAGATAGAAAAAATTATTACTTATTGGAAAAAGCGAATAATAGAGAGAATTACGCAGTTGGGGGATGTGCTGGAAGTGGGAGCGAATTGTGCGATTTTGGAAAAAAGGGGGGCGGAGCGAGCAACTTACAGACACTCACACGCATGCAAGGAAAAATCTGGAGCGTGGAGAAGAACAGACGAGTAAACCAGACAGAACCTCGTGACAGATTAGTACAACTGAAACAAGAAAATCGGAAAGAAATAGTTAGAAAAAATAGGCAATAAATTGGGAAAGGAAGCTATATAAATACTTTTAGTTTTAGAAACATCATTTGGGTTGTATTCTACATGGAAGAAAAAAAGAAGCAGCAATTACATGGTAGAATATATAACACATCCTACCAAATCAAGATATTTAATAAACTTCCGAAAGCCAATAAAATAAATCATATAAGTTACTAGACTAATAGTGGAAAAAAGCCCTTCGAGAAAATATCACAAAGCGAGAGAGAGAGACATAGAGAAAAGCCAATATATTTTTTTAATCCTCGAGACATAATTTTCGATTTCATCGAACTTCGAGAGAAGACGGATTTTGACGAGTTGACGGGAAGGAATCACGCTGAAAAACGTTGTTTAGTGAAAGGACAGACAACAGATTGTTAGGTCTTGATGAAACGATAGGGAGAAAGAAACACCCCAATCACACCGAATTTCTCATACTAAAATTTCGTTGACCTCAATAAATTAAAAAAAAAGAATATAAACTGAGCATTCTAAATTTCAGCAATTAATTGTGAAATTGTCATTTTGATGGGAACTGATTGTTAAAAGGTGGAGCTGGTGATGGCTGCTGCCCGTTAAACACACCATTGGATCCATTATTAGCTCCCTGCGACATTCCTGCTGATGGTGAAGTGTAAACCTGTCCAGGACGGATAGGCTTCACAATTTGTGGAGCATTCATTCGTCGCATATTGCGTTGCCGGACGGCTTCCTTGATTCTCTCCACTTCTTGCTGATACTTCTTTCGCTCAGCCTGACTGCGCTGCTTTGAATCACGGAGAGCGGTTTCTAGCATTTTGATGCGATCCTCACGTCCACGAAGCCGAGCCTCCATCTTTGGAAGTTCCACTCGCAAGTCAGCGTTGTCTCGAACGAGCTGAAAATTGATGTGTCTAACTCCGTTTCTCTAATGTGTGAGCTAGACTTACCTGCTTATGGACCTTGGTCAGTTTATCCAAGTTGTTCTCCAAGAATTGGATTCGTTGTTTTTGAGCTGGTCCACTCAGGGAGTCCTCACCCTCGATATCCTGATTGGCTTGACACCGAGTAATAAGAACTCGCATAAACTCCTTCTTGAGATTCTTCAAGGTTGTCAACTCCATATTTACACGATCAGTAAGAGGTTTAATCTCTTTAGCAGCTTGATCCTTTACGAGCAGTTGCTTCATTCTTCCTGCATCTTGACCAGACTCAACTCGAGCGACATCTGCAGCCAGTTTGGCTTCTGCGTCGTGTTCAGCGGCAGTGCTGGTTTCCTTTGCAGCTGAATATTCGGAGAACAATTTGGAAACTCCGATTCTGACATGGTTCAGAAGATCGTGATCGGGGAGTTGATCGTTTTGAGTGGAAATATCAGCGATATTGAATTCGCGAATGACGTTGTAGATTCCTTCTTTGAAGTGGCGAATCTTTGGACCACATTCGTCGAGATGCGCATTCAGAAGGGATGTTGCTTGATTCATACGGTCTTCTAAGCTCTGGTTATCTTCCTGAACCACTTCCAACTCGCGCTTCAGCTTCTCACATTCCGCTTGTCGTACATCCAAATTCACTGCGATCTCTTCCAAAGCAGTCATCATTTCCTTTCCTTCTTGCTGCTTATCTTCGGCCTCCTTTTGGAATCTGTTGTTCTCTTCACGAATCAACTCTTCGTTCTCGCGCATTGTTCCGAGGGCTTCTTCTTGAAGAAGAACTTGTTGTCGGAGCTTCTCGAGCTCTTGAGAAACTTTTTGAATCTCGTCATCTTTCTCGTCGAGTTGTTGGTAGAGTTTGACACGCTCTTCTTCGTACTTCTTTTTCTCTTCATCTGTGATTGGTCCAGTTGTAGAGGTGAGCATTGGTGGCGCTGGAGCGATAGATCGTTCCATGAGTGGAGTAGATCCTCCGGAAACTTCTGAAACTGCCATTTGAGCAGTCTCTGATAGATTGACCCATTCCATTTCTGATACTGATTCTCCAACTCTCCATCGTGAAAGTTCTAAAGCTGCGGCTTGAAGCAGAGCAGATAGTCGAGTAACTTTCTCCTTCTCCTTCTCGTACCGCCTCTTCCATTCTTCAGCAGTGAGCTCTTCGTTGATTTGTACAACGTTCTTGATTGTTTTGGCACGTTGACCGAAAAGAAGTGTCGATTTTGTTTCAGCCTCGTTGAAATGTGAGGGTGAAGCACAGATGATAACTGTCGTTCGAGAGTTTCCTCCAAGAGATTCTTGAAGAATACGAGTCAACTTTGAATCACGATATGGAACATGCGATTTCTGAAAACCACACTTACAAATGATTTCTCAGTATTTTTCCAAGTTACGTTCAGGATTTCCAAGTTCTATTCAGAGTACATACATTAGCAGCGAGCATATAAAAATTGTCAAAAAAACATACCGTTCCTTCAGCCAAAGCTGAAATAACAATTCCGAGTGCCGTGAGTGATTTGTTGATGTTCTTGGCTTCTTCCAACACAGCTCCCTGCGCACCAGTCTTGCTCACTTTTTCAGAACCAGCTAAATCAACCAAATACAGCTTTCCAGTGAGCTGTTTCTTTGTTGTCTGATGTTCTTGTTTTACAGTGATCAAGAATACTGAGTGAGAGCGGGAAGAGTGCTCGTTCATGTCTGAAATTCGAGGTAATAAATTAGAATAGCAGTGAACCTCTCTTACTCGTTACTGCTACCATTCTGTTTGATTTTCCGTCTTCGATCGCCTGCAGAACTTCATCTGGTCCACCAACAAATCTTTCAGTTGCTCCTTTCACATAAGGTACCCGATTTTTGTCTTCGTGAATAGATAGATTGACCTTCTCGGGGTCTAACAAATCCCGAATCTTCTCATTGTAAATCTCATAGTAGGACACTTTGATGTGGAATTGGAGGTTTTCATCCATGTTGTAAATGTGGTTGAAAATGTCAGCGACAATTCGCGGAATGATTCCAGACAGATTTCCATCGCCAATTACTCCCTGTTGTTAATGTCTTTTACTCTTTTAGTTTTCATGAACTTGGTGTTTTTAAATAGAAGATTCATAATAGAAGGCGCGTCAATTAAGAGACAGTCACTCATTAGAGATCTCGGATTCATGATAGACCCGCAGCTTAGCTTTTCCGAACATTGGCGAAAATTCAACAATCGAGCGAAATTCGTAATGTCACAAATTTTTCATAGATACAGTAGCGACAATACTAGACTGCATGTACTACTTTATAAAACGTTTGTTCGACATATTCTAGAGTATTCAGCAGTCGTAACCAATTCACGAAAGAAAAATGACATTAAAGCTATCGATTCAGTTCAAAACGCCTTTACCAGAAGACTTTACAGCAGACATCTAGGAAGGTTCATTAGAACTGATGATTCAGAATATAAATCGGCATCAGAACGCAATGAGCTATACGGCATTACTCTTTTAGAATCGCGTCGCATTGGCACGGACCGCAAATTTCTAAGTAAGATGTTATCAGGGAAAGTAGATATTGAAACAAATAAGTTTTTCAAGGTAGACTTAAATAACAAAACGCGTACTAAAACGAGGTTCATTTGGGCAAAACATAGAACCAAAATTAGGGGAACTTCTTCACAAATCGTGCTCTTAGCGCAATAATAAAGCCCAAATGATATTGAAGATCTTTTTCAGTTTTCATACCCATAACTATGTCTCATTTCATTTAATATCGGTCATAATGCCAATCCATGTCTTATTTAGGCCTTATTTATGTCTCCCCATGGCTTATTTATTTTTTGTCCCACTTTTTTCTTTCTGGCTACTTGTCTCTTCATTTTTTATGTCAACTCTTTTCTCTAGCTCTTAAACGTGTAACTTTTTTTTCTTTTCTTAATTTTAATGCCTATTCTTTTCCTATGCTCAATAATATTTATGTCATTGTATTTCTCACGATTTTTCATCGTAATAAATTATTATTATAAGTTCAGGTTAAACAAAAACAACTCTATGCATGTTTTTGTTAGATAAATCTTCTCCAAAATAAATTTATATTTGTTTATTTCAGTTTTTACCTCCATGGTGTGGGTTTTTCCGGAAGATGTTTGTCCGTAGGCAAAAACGGTTCCATTGTATCCAGAGAGCACATCCTGCACAATGTGATAGGCAGCTCCCTTGTAGACTTGTTCTTGAGTCGTGTTCGGCTTGAACACTTTATCGAACACGAATACTTTACCCTGGAAAAATCAATATATCCTCAGATGTCCCGTTTGTGTACTTTTCGAATAGATGGATGTTGTGTCATGTGAGAGAATTGACACACCTGCACCCCATGCTTCCCCCCGTCGCTGTTGACATAATTGTCCTCTACAGCCCCTTTGTATTACTCACCCCCAGTGAAATACTGTCCTCGGAAGGGAATTTGGGAAGAAAACGGTCCGCATTTTTCTCTTCTGTCTTGTTCAGAGGTCGAATACGACAGAACACCTGAAATGAGAAACATGTGAATCACAGAAATGAATATAAAATATGTTACCTGAACACCGCATTCTGCTCCATCTGTCCGCGGCTCCATTTTTTAAGATTATGGATATCTCTTCGGAATTGTTCGATGCTCCTATTCTGCTAATTACCCGGCTGCTCGGTATGGAACCTGCAAAACTGGGTTAATCGATAAAACCGAGAGAATGAACAAAGCATGTGGTTTGCGAGAGAAACAGAGAAAGGAGGAAAAATAGACATTGCGAAATTTCAAGATATTTCATCACCCGTTTCGGTTTAACTGCTCAATGTGAAACAAGGCAGAGGGAAAGAGCTGCGTGTTTTGTTTGATTGGATTGATTTGACACAGAAAAACCAAGGGTTCATAGATTAGTTTCGAAGAACAGCTAAAATAAGAGAAGAATGAGTTTATACATTGAATACATTTCATTTCAGTCATGAAACTACAGCTATTTATTTTTCGAAAAAATTTTTCGCACATTGCCTATGGGGAACTTCGATTGGTCTCGATCACTATATGGTGGAAAACACGTGGCGCGCAGTGCGAATGTTCAGTTGACAGTTTCAATAGAACGACATTGAACTAAATTGAATGAATTATAGAATTCAGCAGCAGTTCTAATTGCGAAAAGCAAAATCATTAAATTATTTGCGGTATTCACATGGAAAATCAACAAAAAGGTGGAAATTGTTGAAAAAAAAGAATTTCTCGAATGTGCGAATACGGTGGGCGAAGCCACATATCGAAAAATTGCAAATGGGTTTCGACTGGAACTGAAGTACTGTTGCTTCAAAATTTCTGGCGATTTTGTTTTCTCGCATTTTTTCTTTCAACTTTTTCAAGCAAAAAGAATTCGGCAGGGTTCACTATATTCTGATTTGTTTTCAAATAAAATCTTAAATTTAGTTTTCAATTCGCCTTCTAGAAGGCCTTTTTTCTGACAGAAGAATTTATAAAATCTATATTTTGATCGCAACTACGAAAACCTAAATTGAATCTGTTTGATAATTTCGCATACATAACTACACATATACAAAACGGGAGGATATTCGAAGGCAAATAAGGAGAGACTCAAACCAAATATGGTCATCAAATTGACAATGAGTAATGACCGATACGACAAGATACGGCAGATGGTGGAGGACGGCGGGGAAGCGATAGATTCGGAAGCGAAAAAGGTCGATAAGGGACTAAAGACACCGCAGGTGGGGGCTATTTTGTTCAGCAGATATTCGTTGTGGGACCTAGAGGATGGTCGGTGCAAAAGCTTCTCTTTTCATTGGTGGAGAGTGAAACGAGAGAAGAGACACACTCACAACATTCATTCGTTTGCCGGGAAAGAGACGAGGGGGCTTTAGTATCGGCCTGGTAGGAAGAGAGAAAGAAGGCGAGAGATTCTTGAATTAGTTTATTGTGGTGCTAGACGCAGAGACATCCGTGGTTTCTTTCGCCCTCCTCGTTTCATATTGTGCTTTTCGGCGAGGAGGGACGATGGACGGCCTCTTCAAACACTCACAGAACACTCACTAGTCGCGCTCAATAGTAGTGAAGACAGGAAACAGCGAATGTAAAAATTTACTGTTATTGGAAAGTCAAATATCTTTATTCATCTAATAGGAATACAAACTGACATAAATTAACGATAACCGGTTAATATTGATCAATGTATAATTAACATTACCAGCAACATCTACCATTTTCTCGGTCCGTACCCGTATTGAGAGCTGGGGTCTGCTTCAGGAGGCTGGGGATGTAAAGGTGCATATCCTGCTCCAGCGGAAGGATCATTCCAGTAATCTGGAGCAGATGTAGAAGGAAGAAACGTAACAGGGCGAGACGGGGTCGGATATGCTGTGTGGTTTGCTGGCTGCAAGCGAGAAAATTCTTAGAATTATACGAAGCATTAGCATTTTAATAGTAGCATTATAATGCTCAAATTAAAGCCAGAAACAACAAACCAAGTGGATCCGCTGTTGCCTTGCCTGTTCTTTCAATTTATGCTCGGCCATTTTTATAGATTCCTTCAGCACTGCTCTTCTCGTAAATATTAGAACATCCTGAAATACCAAAATTCGACGGGAAATTTTATAGGAAATTCACTCTGATGTAAATTGACTTTTTCAAAAGCAAATCGACTGTACTATGGTCTGCAAAAGTGATGATACAGAAATGCAAAGGTCCTTCAGAATCCTGAAAGTAAACTTTATAGGAATATATCCCCACTTCAACAAGACTCACACTGACAAACTCCACGTCGGTAATTTTTCCATGAGATCCAAAAAAGGTTTTCAACTCTTTCGATGTCAACCTCTCCAGTGGGAAGAATGAAACAAAAAGCCTCTTGGATTCAACTTTCACCCGTTCATCTTGCTCGTCTTTGGCTAATTCAATTGTACATTTTACTCGGTTGATCTCGTGGATATCAGATTTCATACATTTCGAATAGCCATCCATATCAAGAAAAGTGACATAGGCGTAACCAGCGCAAGTTCTTCTCTTCTCTTCTATGAAACCCTCTCCTTCGCCAACTCTCTCTAAAAATTATTTTACATGGTTTAAAGCCTTTTTTTAGAATTCTCACTCATATAACTTTCGAAAGATCCATGTTTCTCAATGTTGTACTGTTCCACATGTAGCTCATCGTCGAGTGTTACGCTATTCTGGACAGGTTCATAGCGAATAGCTGAACGAGTCTCAATATCTTCATTATCGGGACCAGAATCAACAATCTGAGTTTGAAAAATATGAAACATTTTTCTGGCACTCCTTACCAAATATCTAGGTGGAGTCGGCACCACACATTCGTATAGTTTTCCAAACTGTTCGAAATACTTTTTAACAATTACTTCCGTTGTATCAGAACTCAATCCTTGAACGAAAATCCTTTTTACCATTGTCGATGGACAGAGAAATCGAGAAAAAATACAATTTGAATGCCCTCGCAGGGCGACTTCGCATTGCGCGTAAATCGACACACATTCGGCTCCGGACCGTAAACACCGTCGCCGAGGGGAATTGGTCTTGTCACGAAAAGTACGTTATTTGATGTTTTTTCAATCAGCTTTGAAGCTGTTACTTTCAAAGTATTCTACTCAAAAAAAATGCACAATTTCTTGTTATTATGTGAATATTAACTGTTGTTTTAATCGATTGTCTTTTCTATCATCTGTGAAAATCGAAATTTCTCCATTAGAATACGTTCGTTTTCAGGAATGATGAAAAGAAACAATGAAGGAATTGGGGGAGAAGGAGTTGCGAATAGTCCACCAGATGATACTCAACAAAAGCGTCGCAGAATTCAGTTTGAAGCGGTTAAAATGCCAGCAGTCCAAAGTGTTGTAAGATTAAATAATTAACATCGATTTTCTGTTCAAAGCATGTTTCAGACTGAACTCAGGTCTCGCACGGTGGCTATTCAAGCTGCCAAACTGCGGCAAACGGTTCTGATAAAAAATAAAAGAATATCCGACTTGGAGCGAGAAAATGAGCGGGCAAAGCGTCGACAGTTAACTGATGAAAGCAACTTTCTGAAGGTTTACAATCTGTTTTCGGAGGTATCGGAATATTGAAATTATAATTCCTGAAATTTTACTGTTATTTCAGCTCGAAAAGTTCATTTGGGCTCAAACCAAAGACGAGTTCGGTGAAGTGAAGATGACGCCGTCGGCACCAGCTGGTACAGACGTTCAAGGGATGACTTCTGAGCAATATCATTCGTTTGTCGATACTGCAAAAGGAAATTTGTAAGAAAAACGAAAAAAAATTTTTTTAATGCTCAAGGTTTCGTATTTATAGGCGAATCGCTTTCAACTCTTATGCAAAAGCTCGTCACGATCGTACCACTGAAACTGCGAACTTTATAGCTAGGCTGAAAACGCTCATGGCTGATCCGAAACTGAATATCAATGATATTCACAAAGAACTGGCTGCCAAGACCGCAAGTCTTTTAGCTCAAATTGATAAATTACAAGCCGAAGCTCATAGAGTTCAAAGTGAGAACCACAATTTAGAACGGAAGCGTCGCCACATGGTTGATAAAAACACACTGTTGGAAAGTAGGATCCAAGAAATGGAGAAGCTTCTGGAAGAAGCTCACTTCGAAACTGAGAAGCAAATGCGTCTTGCCTGCAAATATGAGGCACGACTTATCCTTGAACACGAAGCAGCGTCCGGGAATGCAACAGCCTCATCGTCGGCTACTTTGAACCAATCTGAAAAGAAAATGGGATCCCCAGGAAGTCCACCGAGTGAATCCACAAGTCGCGAGGTACGGGTTTCCGATCAATAATAAACAGAAAAAAAGTAGTTTTCTATGACATAAAATAATTAGAAGAAACATTTTTTTTCGAATTTTCAGATCGAAGCTCTCCGTGCGGATCGTGATGAACAAGCAGCAATTGCTGCTCGTCGACTTCAGGAGCTAGAAGATACGAACAGGAAATTGCAGTCAATGGCTCAGGACATCAGCAAACTAAAGATGGAGGTAGGCTCTGATAAATTACTCCTATCTAACATTGTCTTATTCATCATATAGTTGCAGACACAATCGTCAGTGCCCTCAGACGTCATTACAAACTCGGAGGAGTATAGGAATCTTAAAAAATACTATTCACTTGCAATCAAAGAACACGAGCGTATTTGCAAGGACCTGGAAGATGTCACAGTGGAGCGTGATCAATTACGGAGCGTCAAGGAGAATAGAGAAAAGATGATGTCAGAGGAGCATCAGAAGACTATTAAAGAGATTCAGCACCAGTCTGAAATTCACAATACATTCTATCGGGTTTCTCATGATAGCGAAGTTTTGCGTGCCGAATTCGAAACTGTAAAAGAGGAGTATAATAAGACGGTGAAACAAAGTGAATGGGATGAAATGAAAGCAACTGTCAACACACTTCGTTCGTTAAACAAGACGATGAAGTCGCAGATGCAACGGATGAAGGATAGAGAAAAGGCATCTCAGAAGGAGCATTCTGCTGTTAAAACAGAGTTGAAAACGCTGAAAGATCAATTGGAAAAATCGGTATTAGTACCGCTTGAAGACAGCGGAAACACTTCAACGGAGGATGCGAATAAGATCCGCGCGGAATATGAATCCTTGAAAAGAGAAATCAGGCGCATCGGAGCGATGGATAAGCAAGAAAAGCAGAGGCAACTTGATGTAAGTTGTTTTATTTGATTCATGATGATGGACATGCATTTGTTTTTCGAAATTCTGGTGATAGAGAAATTTTGGGGCATTATTAGCAGAATTCTATCATAAGTTGGTTGATAAATCTTCAAAATACCACTGAGAATTTTTCTAATAGGTCCAAATAAGCAAAATCTTTTTTTCACTAAATGTTTTCAGTATTTAGCACCTGAACAAAAATATCTACTTCTCATTAGTTCCATAAGTTTTTCTGAAATATTAAATGCTAGCATTTTGATGAATTAGTGGGTTGATTTTTCAAATATCATTTTTCAGCGAGAAATCCAACGTCATATTGCCGACAAAGTGACAGAGTTAGAGACACTCCGAAAAACCAACGAAGCACTGACAAATGATGAACAAACTTTATCTGATGAGTTAGAAGTCGTTTGTCTGACTATTGAAGAAGAACAGGAGAGAAACGCACAATTGTTTATGGAAAAACGAGATCAGGAAGATAGAAACCTAAAAATGATGAACGAAAGAATGATTCAAAACCAAGTGCAAAGTAGAATGCGCGAGAAGTTGGAATGTTTGGAAAGTAAAGCTCAGACCGATGCTCAGATTGCAAAGATGCACGAGTTCGAGAAGAAGGCTTCGGATGAAGTTTTAAACAAGTTAACTGAAAATCTACAGTTTAAGACTTCCGAAGTGACGTAAGTTTCTATCTGAGATCCTCATTACTCATGAAAATTGTTCTAGGCGCTTATCAAACATGATGGAAGTACATCGTAAGCAAACGCAGGAGCTTGGGTTCGCGAGAGATGAAAACCAGGTCAAAGTAGATCGTTGTGAAGCACAACTCAAGCAATATCAAGATTTGTATGGCTCCAAGTCTCGTGAAGTGGAAGAAGCCAAGTTCAAGCGGCAGAGGGCAGAAGAAGAATTGGAACTAGTTCGGGTTAAATACGAACGAGCGAAGCGCAATGACTCTGCTCAAACTGGGGATCAAGTTCTTCAAGAAGCGAACCGACAGATGAAAGAAACGTTGACATGTCCTTCATGTAAAACCAGACCCAAAGACTGCATCATGCTGAAATGCTACCACTTGTTCTGTGAGACATGTATCAAAACCATGTGAGTGATCATATCTCTTGTGTTTTTTATACTGAAAAAAATATTTCAGGTATGACACTCGTCAACGTAAATGCCCGAAATGCAACAGCAATTTCGGTGCAAACGACTTCCATCGCATCTTCATCTAGTTTTCTCGTCTCATTATATCTCTTCATCATCGTCCCAGCCTCGTTTCCATGTGGGTATTTTTTTTTCTTCTCTAACTTATTTGCCTTAACTCACTTCCTTAGCTCTCGACACTCTTTTCGAAAATTAATTAATTTCTTAAATACCGTCACCTCTTTTACACTTGTCTCATAATTTTTCCTCGAGTTCGCTATATTCAAGCTGAAACATTGTCATTCTTTTTCTTCTCTTTTGATACGTTGAATCTCTGTGCTGGATCACACACAATTACTATGTCATCAATATTGCTAGTTTTGAAATTTAAAAATAATTTGACATATAACTAAAGTCCTGATATTTTATGAAATTTATTATTATTTTGTTCAGCCCGTACACAATTAAAGTTCAAAGCTCAGAATGGGGAATAGAATCAGATGCCGCCGTAGCACCACCTCCCTGCATGAACGGACATCCTCCAGTTCCACCAGATTCCGAGATTGGAGGATGACGTGCGAATGGCTGAAAAATAACCATGGGTTTCAAAAATACAATTTACGGGATGTTACATCTGAATCCAAGAATAGAGTGTGATCAGGTAGGACGATGGTTTCCTCGAATCCGAATTGCTTATTGACGTTCTCAACTTGAAGATACCTTAGCGGATGAGGGTTTTTTGTAGAGAGAACATCTAAAGAAGTCGAAGCATTTGTAAATGAAAACCTGTGGAATTAGCTTACTATCTGCTTCTGAAGAGCTGACCACCTGAAGGAGTTTCTGAAGATGGTCTGGACATTTAGGCTTGGAAGTTGGAATCAGATGAACTCGATCCTTGTTTAAAAAAACGATCACTGGTTCGTCATTATCAATTCCAAGAGCTTTTTTCGTTTTTTGAATATTTTTGTTTTCTCCATCAATTTTTGTAAAAATATAATTTTTTCGAGCATCTTGACGGGCGGAAAGTTTAGAAAATGGTTCAGAATCTCTACCAATGAGGATTAGAATAGGACGCTTCTGATGGAATAGAACATCGGTAGTGAATCCGTTAGAGATGTCAATCTGGAATAAATTTAAAATTAATTGATTTTTAAAAATCAAAATTTAGTTAGTTTACCACTGATGGAATCGAAGACTTTGTGATGAACTCCATCAAAGATGCTGGATCGAATTTTCCAGAGTAATCAGTTCTTTTCTGTTTTTCAGAGTGTCGATATGTCGTGATTGCAGGTTTTGAGCTTAAAATACACAGATTTGACAAACCTTTAAAAATTTTAATACTCACTTTTCATTAATGAAATAGGCTGTATAATATTTTCCAGCTAATTTTTCAGTGGCAATTTGGAAATGCTGGAATGATGTATCTTGATCTGATGGGAAAACACCTATTGTCACTGATGGCCGTTTCTTTCCATTTACGATTCCTTTTTTGAAATCTGTGAATTTCGATTCATTCGGAAGTTTTTGAAGAGGTCCAAGGAGTGATCTTAAAACGTAAATTTGTCATAAATATTACTCTGGTACAAAAAATCAGAGCTGTGGTCCCACAACGAAAACTACTGTAACCTTAAAAAATTATTTTATTTTCCGGATTTATTTTTTCATTTTTCGCACGTTTTCAGTCGTGAAATACGTGAAAATGAATCAGGAAAAAAGTTTTTAGGTTACGGTAGTCGTCGTTGTGAAACCTCCTGCCGATATGATAACTCACAGCTCAATCCAGTTCTCATAAAACTCCTCATCGCCAATATTTTCCGTTTTTCCAGTGTTTTGGCCGTTTCTGAAAATTCAATTTTTTTCATCGTTTATTAAAAAAATTTCTCACTTATAAGAAACTACAGTATGATAATCCTCGGCGTTCAATCCTTGACAGAATTCGGAACTTTCGTGGCAGGGAACATGAGCTAAGAGAGTATCTACAAAACCAGACAATTGAATAATCTACATCATCTGAAATTCATTACCATCGTCAACTTTAGTTTTGTCTCCTACACGGGACCATAGATTGAATGTGTGTAGACTGACCATCCGATCTGAAAATGGTATAAAAAGTGTCAATCTGCTCTTTAATCGTTTTGTAAGATATCTTTCATGAATTCGCTTTCTGTAGCTTCATGTTTTATATGGCTGTGATTTTTTGAACTCCCGCGGTTTAGTTACGGTCGTGTAGTCCTCGCGGACAAAGCCTTTGTACGTTTGTTCGGTAATTTTTTTCAAGCAGAGTTCTGTTTGTAACACCTCTTTTCCTATTTTCTTTTCTCGAAAAATAACCTGCCAAGACCTAATTCTCAAACCAAAAACTATAATGAGGTTCTAGGTGTTATGTGCGTACACTCTTTCTCGAAGCTCCTTCAGAAAGCCAGTGAGACATTTCAAATGAGCTGTCAGCTTATTACTAGATCCCAGAGTGATACGTAAAACTTCTTTTTCCCAATATCTAGGTCATTGTCTATTAAGCTTGTTTTTCGTTTCAGAGGTGGGTCAAAAGGTCACCCACGTCAACTAGGTCATGCCGTTGGGAGGCCAGCAGGGGTCATCGATCAGTCAGTTACCCGGTAACCAATCAGTTCTGAAAATCTACTTTCGTGGAATACCTGTGGAATCAAGCGCTCATCTGTTCAATAGAGGTTAGCTGAAAGAGAAAGGTGTTTGAAAATCCTATGCTTGCAGTATGGATAGCTCGAATCAAAGAAAACGACAGCTGGAGGATGACGACCCGGAGACCGACACTTCGAAAAAGCCGATGACTGTGAAAGACGAGCCAACAGATAGTTTTGAGAAAGGAGACTTTCCAGCGACGACATCTGCAACAATATCTGCGACTCCGATTCTCGATTCGATCATAGCGACACCACCGGTTCCGCCTCCGCCGAAGAATGCTAGTATGTCGTCGAATCCACCAATCAGTTATCTGACTCTTTTTGGTTCGTAAACTGGTTGCATCGATAATAGCGAATTTTATAGCGATGATAGTATAGCGATCGATAATAGCGATGATAGCGAATTTTAGTTTTTTTTCGCAAATCCCCGATTTTTTTTTGAAAGCTTGTGAATATTATCAAACGAATTTTTTTTGTGTCAAGTTTTCGCATTTTTTAATTTTTTTTGCAAATGTACGCGAAGAATTCGCATCAGGTCAATTTTCGAAGCCAAAAGTAAAAAAAAACGTGGGGTTCTATTTTTTTTTCAACCAAAAATTTTTTTAGCTGCCTTCCGTCAATTCCTCAATGGTTACATGCAAGCCGGTGGTGATATCAACTATGCGAATGCTCTCGCCACTTGTACCGCAGCTCTTCCAATGCCACCAAACCCTCTCAAACCAATGATTGCTTTGGTTCCACTCACTGTTCCGTCTGCTCCGACTTCATTGGTTTCTTCTGAAGATTCTGCTGCTCAGAAGCCCAGTCCACCACCTAAAAAGGCTGGTGATTCAGAGCCAGGGACTTCGGAGACATCCGCAACTTCAGCAACTTCAGCAACTATGCCTACTTTGAGTGCCGCATTGGGAGAGGACAAAGAAAAACAAGCCGAGAAGTCTTCTGATGCTGTCCCGGCAACCGCGACTATTCCAGACATAAAGCCACATATTTTCCCGTTGCTTCCACCTTTTCCAATGATTCCGATGCTTCCAGCTCCAAAACCGCAAGTCCCTGAATCTTCTACAGAGATTCAACGCCTCCGCGAAGCTGCTTTTGGCAGATATAAGAACGTTTTGTGTGTTATTTGCAATGAATGGATTTGTTCCAGAAATCGGTGAGTGAATTTTTTTTCATGTCCTATTTAGTTTTTTTCTCAATTTCAGCAAAAATCACATCGAAGCTCATCTGAACTATCGTCCCTACAAGTGCTCCGCATGCAGCTATGCGAGACGTCGTGAGATTTTCGTCATCCAGCACATGAAAACTCAACACAAGGGGCAGAAAGCAGAAATGCAGAGCTCTGTTGATCTACACATTGCCATGGAGTAAGTTTCCTATAGCCGTAAACCCTAAATCAGCTCTCTTTTATCAGAGTCGATCGTCTTGCTGACGAATGCGTTGCACGTACCAGAAAACTCATAGAGAGCATGCAAGAGAAAAAGGACGGAGACTTTGGAGAAAACAAGGATTTCGACGAAAAAGCTCTGGAGCTCATGCTTAAAGAAGAGAAGGAGAAGAAGGTTGTCCGCATTGAATCCGTCGCTGCGATTCGTCCAAAAGTGGCCAACTACCATCGGAAACAACGCACCCAGGTTCTTAAAAAGATCTACGATACTGACGCAGCAAAACAAGCTGAATTGAAGATTGTAAAAGAAGAGGAAGACGGCGAAGAACCAGCGCCATCCATTAAACTAGACGACGGCTTTGAAATCAACTTGGACGACTTGATGAAAATGGTGGAGGCAGCAGGGGGAAGTCAGGAATCGCAGGGAAGTGAGTCGAATAAGGATGAATCAAGTCAATCTGCTCCAACAACCCAAAATGATGCAGAGGAGAAGGAGTCAACGCCAATCGAGCCAACACCAATCGAGTCATAATTTGTTTCTCACAGATATAGATGCCTCCATTGATCTCTCTATTATCTGTTTTAACCTTTCGCTGTTGCCATCGGATGTAAATCCCGTAAATCCCCGTTCATAAATAGTGTAACTTGAAATTTTTCAACTATGTTTTTGTTTAAAAAAACTCACTGCTTGTCCAAAATAGAATGAAAACATTCTTGTACTCATCCAAAAGCTTGTCGAATTCCTTTGACGAATCGATTCTTCTCAACGAATCAGAAGTCAGTTTCAAACCGGATCCAGTTCGAACTTCTAGAAGAGCAGGTTCTAGAAGATTGAGTTCATTTGAACCGAACTTCTCCATTGAGATTTGACGATGTCGATTCTTTCCACTTAACGACTGAATAAAGTTTTAATTATTTAAATTGAAATTGAGATTGTAATTTTGAAACCCACATCCATTTCTTGTACTGTAAGAGCGCGAATGTATCCGACTTCTTTTTCTGCTTCTGGAGAAGCGAAGGCAATCAGAGAAGATGGAGAGTGACGGGAGAAGGCACTGGAATATTTTTATGTGATGAAATATTCTTCTGATTTAAAAAAAATCGGAAGGTCCCACAACGACAACTACCGTAACCTAAAAATATTTTTATTTTCCGGATTTATTTATTATCTCGTTTTTCACTGCTTTTCTTTGTTTTTCACCAAACAAGTGGGAAATTGAAAAAATTGACTAAAAACGTATGAAAATCGAGATAAAAAATCCAGAAAATAAAAATAACTTTAGGTTACGGTAGTTGTCGTTATGGGACCTTCGTTTCTCTTCCACAGCTCCGATTTTTGTAGCAAAAACTAAAAAAATAAAATCGAAAACTAACTCAAGAAGAGCCATTTCGATTGTTCCGTCATTCTTTTCGTTATACTTCCGATCGAATGTATAGGTGGCTGCTCCTTTTTGTCTGAAACAAAAAAAAAATATAAATCGATATTTTTTATTTTCAAAAACACTCACTGATCTTCTACGATCAAATAGTTCCAGGTTCCTGTGCTTGGATACTCTTGACATCTATAATGATCGGTTGGGGATGAACATTCAATCTGAAATTAATTTTTAATTTTTATTTTTTTTTAAATCTTACATTCTCATTTTCCAGTGTTAATCTTGCTGACTTTTCCAATCGGGACCTGATATCTTTCAAAACAGTCACCACTCGAGACGAAAACGTTTTCTCTTGAACTGAAATTGATTTGAAACATTTCAATTTTTCAATTTCAAACTTCATACCATTTGGAGATCTATAAATATAAGTAGACTGAATGAAATGAGGTTCTGGAACGATTCCAGGCGCAGCAGTTTCATCGTAATCCCATCCCTGGAAAATGGGTTGCTGTATAAAAAATTTTTAACCAAAAGAGTTACCTCATCTCCATCCGGAAATTTGCCAGGAGGACTTGGACCGGACGGCGGACCAGGCGCTTTTAATCCCATCATGTGAGGACAGTGACATCTGGAAATTTTTTAATGAATTTAAATAATTTTCATTCTTCTTAAAATCTTCTTTCTGATGAAAAATTGAAAAACGGGAATTGGTTTTGGAAAGTAGGTCAACCTAAGAAACATTGACTTCTTGATGATCGTCTACCAAAATTATCAAAATGAATTCACAATTCAACTTACTCTATAGACGGTAGTAAAATACCAAGAACACATATCAGAGTAGAGATGAAACTGGGACCACCCGAAAAATGTGTCATCCTGACAGTAAAGAAGAAGTACTAGAAGAAGAAGTAAAGAATGGGTGAAGAAAGAGAGAATGTCCTTGGAACGAGACGCCGAGGAGAAAGAAGAATAACCGTCTCTTTTGATGCGGTGAAAATTGTGTCTTGAGGAAGGCGGAAAAAGAAGGGAAAATTGATTGCATTGATGGATCGGGATGATAACAAAAAACAGTATCCTGTGGTTGGATTTTAAGCGAGAAGTTAAAAATATTGAGGGAAACTTGGGCACATCATTTGGAGGGTACAAAATTCGGATTTTCCAGGCATTTGTTCCCCTAAATTGCTTTGTACTCTCTGAATTATTTACCAGAAACTTAAATCAAAACAATCTAACAATGTAACCGAAATATCGTGAACCTAGATTTTAATGAAAATTTCAGGACAAGTTAAGAATAATCTATCTATAATAGATACGTCTTAAAATTTTAGAATCCGCTCGCCAGTATCCGCCGAGTGACCGTAAACATGTAGTAGAAGATTTCAATAGAAGGGCCCTTCTAATAGTAGGGCCTTTCGAGAGGGGTTTGAAGAGCCTCCTTCAAAATTTGTGTGTGTGTTTTTTTCAAATCAAAATGCACCGTACGTTTTCAGTGAAAAATATTCAGGTTACTCCACAATTTCACAGAAATTTGTTGGAAACACTTTTTCTCTCAAAATCTTGCTCATGTATTTCAGTGGAATTGATAGATTTTTATGAACTTCTTAATTATTCGATGAAAAATTTCGAAATATAAACGAGAAAAAGGATGCCTATAATAAAAGAGCCCCCTTCTCCCAAAATCCAAGTGGGGAAAAAATTCAAAAATTGAAAAAAACTTTTATGGAAAATGTCTGAAATATATATTTTTATTCAAATCTTACTTTAATACAGCAAAATTCATGTTATAAAACGTCCATGAAATTGAGAAAATTGTTTGTGAAAATTACTGTTTTGCACTGGAAACGCGATTTTGATATTGAAAATGATATACCGTGAACACTCTAACAGAAGGCCAGTCAATTTTGAGCCTTTATGGCTCGGTTCTTGTAAAAGATATCACAAAGCCGTCAACTAACAACATGTTTATCATATTATTAACAACATTTTGCCAGTGGATAATTTTTAATATCTCTCACAGGAATCGAGATACATGGACTCAGAATTAACGGTTTGGATGTCCTTCTATTATAGTGTTTACGGTAATTCGGCTGAAACTCGCAAGCGGATGCAAAATTTTTCAGAAGCGTCTAGGTAGGCTATTCTTAACCTATCTTGTAATTTTCATCAAAATCTCTGTTCACAAGGTGTTAAGTCTACAAGTACAAGGATATGATACTTAGCTTGAGAATTCCACTTCGATGGTTATCTGAAAACTTTTCGACCTATAAAGAACGCTTCAACGTGTCAGGAACGTGTGGATGATTTACCAACGACTCCAATTTTCTTATTATTTTCTATAGAAACTGCGAAAAATTCAAGTAATTCGCAACATTGAAATTGTCAACAATGCATCAGAACAGTGCATTGAAAATCGAGTTCATCAGAAAAGGAGAAGTAACTTGGATTCATGATTTCAAATAACTAAAGTTTCTAAATTTACAGTCTCCAAGTGATCTAGAATTCAGTGATAATGTTGGACAGGTCAACAGTGATCAGATATCAGATTGCAATAGCACAGGATCCATCCCTGATAATCAATCAGGAATTAGTGATATGGAAAAATCTGTGGATGTTAGTGAATGTGTTTTGATTTTCTTATGATTTTTGATTATAGGATTACATCAGTAACATATTGAAACATCATTTATGGTACCACGGAATGATGTTTGGGGGTACTGTAGAGAAGTTGTTGAAATGGGAGCACTCGTATCTTGTTCGTCGGGCAATCCAGAGATCGTCAATGAAGAAAACGTTATGTATCTCAGTCAAGATTGATGGGAAAGTATTGAATTTCCAATTGACCTGGAATGAAGACGGTTGGGGTTCAACTAAGGTTTTTTCATCCTTCATAGACTCCTAGACACTCAAAGAATATTTTCAGCTAGTTGCTAAATTTCCGAAAATGGCTCAAAAAAGATATGCTCACATTTATCAACTTCTAGATGCCTGGTCCCTTTCAGTCAACGCAATTACACCAGTACCCAGAAACAGAATTGTTCTGCATCATAGTTCTATCACACTTGGAAACAAACTAGGAAGTGGAGCATTTGGAGAAGTATACAGAGCAAAATACTTACCAAATGGAGCTAGTGAATCAATTGAAGTAGCTGTGAAACGAGCGATTGGAGATGCACAGAGATCCACAATTCAAGAATTTTGCCACGAAGCTCAGGTGATGGGAGTCCTTCAACATGTGAATATTGTCTGTCTTTATGGAATTGCATCACTAGAACAACCGGTGATGTTGGTCATGGAATTGGTAACCGGTGGAGATCTCAGGGTTGGATTTTACATGTTTATTATGGGGTTATTCATGTAGCGAAAATGTGTATTGATTTCCGCGCCCTCGAAATTCAATGCATGAGTGTCGCGAAATGTATTTCAAAGCATTTCGCGACATAACTGTAAAGATGTTTTGAAACGCATTTACAGGTATGT